CTGTCGAGCGCGGGATTATATTAAAAATGAGGAACATGCACACTGTCATCACAGACCGGTTCTGCTTCGCCTCGAAGCGTCCCTCTCTAGAAAAAAAATCGCTGCCTGTGGCCACGGGCAGCACAAGTTGGGGATATGTTCGCGTACATCTCTCACTAACGCATTATAATCTCGCATCGAGTTCCTTCAGGATCTCAGTTTGCGGTGTGTGCGGCAACTTCTCAAAGGCTGCCGCCCTGAATGCGTCGACCATGTGCAGGAATATGCCATGTTCGATCGTATGCATACGGTCTGGTTGCAATGCGAGGTGGTAGTCTAGCTGAGGATCATCGCCGCTCGGCCCCCTGTAGAACCCCCAAAGGTCGTTCTGTTCAACATGCCTATGCATGTCCAACTCTGCCATTCGCCCTCCCGCTTCGCGGCGCACGTCATCGTCGTCCGCCGTGAATAGGGCTTCTGCGAGTTGGGTTTCCAGCGTCTGGGATCTCCTGCAGTCCGTGAAATCGGCCACAACATCGAGGTCCGTTTTCGACACGGTGCATGTGGGGCATACACCAAACTTCACATTCGCCAGCGCACATCGTTCTGGATAGTCCTGTATATAGTTGAGGAGGAAAGGGTGGACATTCACGTCCCCGAATCGCGACGATGGTATCGTGATGCCGTCGTGCGACGCCTCCTTCGCAGCTTGCAAAACCATCGAAAGGGCCTTGTGGAAGATGACGGCCTTTCGCTTCCTAAATGTGCTGGACTGAAGACCCCATCCTTTGTCACGGGGTCGATGATGAAGCACGGGGAGACAGGCCAGCAGAGTGGCTTCCGACGCGTGGTCCGCTAGCGACATCATAAGAGGGTATGCGGTCTGTTTCTGACGACCGTCTGTGTGTGTCTTGTCGGAGTAGAGTGAGAGAGGGATCACATATCGTGGATTTCCATTCCCGTCGACACCTTTGTGCGCTCGAATGGTTGACTGCGTGTGATAGCTTAGCGCCCCACTGCGCGGACCGGACACACTGTGGTCATCCGACGACGGGGACACTTCAAGGGAATGAACCGTCTCGCATTTCTGCAACGCGACCTGCATTATCGACAAGAATGCAATTCGCCAATCGCGGTGCCACAAGATGGCGTGCGCTCCTTCAGGCCAGTCGTCACTACGCAGGTCCGACTCCTTCCACCCGGCGGCCTCTGAGAGACTGCCCGCCCATGCGAAGCACTCTCGACTGTTGCGGTATGCAATGTCCGCCGCGCTGAATCTCGGGTCTTTGAGAAGTGACAAGAGAGCATCAACGTCGCAATGCGACATACTGACGCCGCCACGTGCGGACAAAATAAGCGCTGCTAGCCTGCGCGAGCTGTCAAAAGGCTCGATGGGTTGCGCTTCCGGCTCTGCGTTGTCACCCGCTGCCTCGTTCGCGTTGTCCTCTGCCCCCGCGTCGTCGTTGTCATCAGCTGCGAGATTCGCTGCGCCCATGTCGGATGGCCCCGGGTCGTGGGCAGCATTGTTCTCCTGCCTTTGCGCCCCCTCTTCCACCACGGCCGGGCATGCCCGCACGATGCGAGTTTAAAGTCCGTAAGGACATGAAAGGTCTGCCGCAGTTGCACACCAGTGGACCGCTGTCCATTTTCTGTGCACGCAGTGCATTCGAAACACAAAGACAGTGAAGCGGACAGTGCTTCGTTAGCATTTTCCACATATGGTCGGGGCATGTGCACTACGTAATGTTGACCATGTTTTTTTATGCAGTGTGAGTCCTGCACGTTGTGGAAAAAACGTCTAAGCATGTTTTTTCCACCTATCCTACGTGACCAGTGAGATTGCCCACACGAGGCAAGCTCTGACTCACTTTCCCGGATGTGTACACTACATTGAAGATAGAGACTTGAGATCGGGCGAGCAGGAAAAAAAAAAACAAAAAAAAAA